GGGGGGGGGAGCTCATATGCCACATCATCCATGTGGAAGGTGGAGGAGAATTTGAGGGTGTAGATTCATTCTTTCACCGTGTGGGTACTAGACTGAACTCAGGTTAGCAGGCTGAGAGGCAGGTGCGTTTATTACTGAGCTATCTCTTCAGCCTCAAGCTACTGGTTTTAAACTAGTTCTGTTTATTAGTATTATCTGTAGAAATAACACATATTTAGCACATTTGCTTCTCGGACAAATTGTTATTTTTAGGTTGCTATAAATGAGGCACTCACTTGGTTTACATTGTTTTACACTGGCTCCTTCTCCTGTTTGCTCTCTGCTTCCTGATTGTGGATACTGTGACCATCTGGTCTCCTGCTCTTGCCACTATGATTTCCCCACTGTCCTGGACTGTAATCCCTTCACCTGTAAGCCACTAGTACCTCCTCCTGCTTGAAGTTGCTTCTAGTTACGTATTTTGTCACATCAACGTGAAAGTAACCAAAATGCCATGGTTCTTATCAATTCTGGTGACCACGCTTTGACTATTGGTATTTGTGTTATCAAGTTACACTGAACTAGCCAATACAACCATGGCTTCTTCGGGAAATAGCAGGGCAACTTCCTATGAGTCTTAGACCAGATATTTTTCATTTTTATTAGCTAATCAATATATAAATTTTCGATTGTATGTTTTTCTTTAGCAATGCATTATTTAATGTAGCAAATTAACCCAATGAATTATGCATTCCCATATTGAGTTCATATATAATTTAGCTAGTACCCTGTGTGAAGATTATACAATACTATACTTCCTCTCTCAATGATACTGTAAAATTTGGTACTTAGGAAATCTGGACAGTACTAGAGTACTACTAGACTTAGTACAACAAGGTCAGGAAAAAAATTAAACTAAAAATTCAGAACTACAAGCTAAAACAAACAAACAAACAAACAAACAAAGCCATGGCGACAAACAGATAGCATTGGGTCATTTGTTTGCGTAAGAGCTGGAACAAGAAGCAAGTACGAACTTGAGGTGAACTTAGCAGACGGCACACCCACCAGAATTCCTGCAGATGGCACACCCTCCAGAATTCCTGCAGATGGCACACCCTCCAGAATTCCTCCTTTTATTTTTTCTTTCATATTTTGCTTGTCATGACTGGCACAAAAATGTGTTGATTTGGGAGGGCACCAATAAATTGTAGTAAGCAAAGCTATTCACACATATAGAACTCATGACAATTCAGTTTCCATCTATTTATGAACATATACATCAATTTAAATTGAAGCAACAGTGATTTCATGTAATGATAAAAAGCAGATAACGTTTAAATCATAAGTGCCAATATAAAGCCCAGTTGTTAGTGTTAGATTCGTCTAGATTACCTCCATGTCTGAACTAGAGCTGGCCTGGATGTATGCCATGTGACACTCCCCACTCCTGCTAGCCTCCCAGCCATTGCCTCAGGTCGGCCTTGTTACCTCGGAGGTTTGTTTTCTCTTTCCTTTAAGGAGTCTTCCAAGGTCCACCTTTCCTGTGTTTCCCAAAAGAATTTTAAGCATTCGGGGTGTCTCTTCTTTTGGTGGGAAAAGAAAAGCAGGTCTTGTTCTTGGAGGGATTGCCTGTGTGGTCTTCCCCTTCTGGCTTAAAAGAACTCTGGTGATAGGAGAAAAACATTGTTTGGGGTAGTTTTCTGACAACTCCAGAGTCTCCCTGAAAAGTAGTAAATTCTCCTGCCCCTGAGATGTCAATGGACACTTAATTTCAGTTTAGAGTGTATTTTTTCTTTTTTTCTTTTAAATTAAATTTAACTTTTTAAATTTTATTTTAGCCGGGCAGTGGTGGCGCATGCCTTTAATCCCAGCACTTGGGAGGCAGAGGCAGGCGGATTTCTGAGTTCAAGGCCAGCCTGGTCTACAGAGTGAGTTCTAAGACAGTCAGGGCTATAAAGAGAAACCGTCTCAAAAAAACCAAAAAAAAAAAATTATTTTATTTTTTTACTTATTCACTTTACATCCTGCTCACTGCCCACCTCTCCTTGCAGGTCACCCATCCCACAATCCTTCCCTCATCTCCCCTCCCCTTCTCCTCTGAGCAAATGTAGGCCTCCTTGGGTATCCCCCCCTCCACCTTGGCACTTCAAGTCTCTGTGAGGCTAGGCATTGAGGTGTATCTTATGAAGAAAGTTGTTGTAACTTCATGTAACACCATTATCCTCATCTTAGATTTTATAGAGCAAACCCAACTTTTTCCACCTTAATCTCTCTATACTGTATTTCACTCTGTGGTTCGATTTGGCCTGGAACTTAGTTCAACCCTCCTGCCTCAGCCTTCTAAGTGCTGGGACACCCAAGTGTGTACCATTACACCTGCTTCTATTAGGGCTTTAAAGGTCATACTTGGCTTTCTTCATGAGGAGCTTTTTAGAAGTTGGATAATGCAGCAGAATTTCTTGAAGAGTCTTTTTGTCCAGAGTTAAAAGATTGGCAAACCCGTGGGCTACCACATCAGCTGTCCGGCGGTTTCCCCCTTCTTTTGCCAGAAGGCTGTGAGACACAAAAAAGCAGGTCTTCAGTCACCTATTTCACTTACCCTCCATTTGTTTTCCTTTTATATCTCAAACAGAACTGCAAATTTAATTATGCAGTTATACATTTTAGTCGTGGTGTCACTGGAACGTTTGTAAGATGTTGACTTATTCTAAGTCCTTCCTAATAGGAAATGCAGGATTTTTAGCAAATTGTGTGTGCTTACTGTCACATGGTTTGTTTTAAATGCCATTGTGACACAATCTAGAATCACCTAGAAAAGGACTTCATTAATAGAGATCAGAAGACTTGCCCATTGTGGGCAGCACCATTCTCTGAGCATCAGATCCTATGTTTTATTAAGAGTGGAGAAAGAGACCTGAATACTTGCACATACATACTTGTGTTTATTACTCTCTACTCTTGACCTCAGATTTGATATAACTAGTTGCTTTAAGTTTCTACTGCCTTGACTTCCTGGAAATGATGAGCTGTTGTGTGAAATTGTGAACCAAACATACACTTTCTTTATTAAGTGCTATTGACAAGGTATATATCACAATAACAGGAAGCAAAACTAAGAAAACACCTCATTTTCAGCACTCTGAACACTAAAAACCCCACTTACCTTAAAGATATAATCATCCACTGCAAATATTTGAAACGCTTTCCTCCTGGGGGAAGTTTGGAAGATGGCTGTATTGCATATTTTTCCTATGAGAACTATACTTTACAAATATTTTTAAATAGATAACAGTAATTATATCCATTCCTGTCCAGTGTTCATCTGATCTCCTATTTAGGGGAAAACACTTTGCTAGAACCATACCCCTGCCAAGGAAGGAGGTTTTTCCTAGTACAGCCCTTCCAGCACTTTTCCATTTATCTCAGGGATGGAAAGCAAAGCAAGTCCTGCAAGGTCATAGCTCACACGTACTTCAGAAGATGGAGACTTGATCCTATTGCTTTCGATGATTTCTTCTCCTCTATTCTTTATCCCAATTGGACTCCTATGTCATAGTGTGACTTGCAATGGAAACAGATAATTCCTCTGAATTAAAATACTTAAGGAAGTGTGGTCATTAAGGGAGAAAAAGGAGAGAGCACAAATGGAGTATGGCACCTCTGTCACCCACATCTCTGACAAATATATATACCATAGCTCCCTGTCAGAGTAGTGTGAAACCTAATGCTAAGTGTTCATCTACCTTGGTACCTCATTTCTAGCTTCCAGCAGAGACGATGAAACAGTTACAAATTACATACCAAAGCACATATGAGAAACAGATGAGATGACACAGGTGTTGGAATTCATAGACAGAAATTTTTAAAACTGTGATTGATACAGTAAGGAATATAATGATAAGGGGAATCATGCAAGAACAAGTATATGATATAAACAGACAAAAATCAAAGAATCTGAAAGAACGCAAGAAATCAATAATGTTGTAACAGAGAGGAAGAATGCTTCTAACTGACCCAGTACCACGTTGGCCTGGAAAAGAATCAGTGAACTTGAATATAATTTAATAGAAGCTTTCCAGACTGACAGCAAAAGAAACAAGCAGAGCTGAACTGGGGACACAAAGAATGAGGGATCACTCTGAAAGACGAGAAATATACATATCTGGAAAACCAGAAGGAGACAAAAGAAAGAGAAAAAGACATTTCAAGCATATCATTCAAGAGCTTTCCAAAACTAATGCCAAATACCTGAACCACAAAAGCTGAGAGACTGGATAACATCAAAAGGGAAAAATAATTAGTGCATCTCTCAGTCCTCACCAGAGATGTTCTCTTCTGTAGTAGATGGCTATTGGTAGAGAGATTCACAACTGGTCATCGTGCAGGAACTAAGAGATTATGGACCACACACCTGTAAATATATATCCCCTAAATTTAGGGATTAAGAAGAGGCAAATGTAGTGAACATTTTTAGAAGAATTGTTTGGAGGACACGACAGGACCAGTACATGTAGCTCTGACTGTATGCATAAGCTAACAAAAATCTCAGCTTGTATGAGGAGGCTCTCATGAACTCTCACTCCTAGATGAGGACCTGTAGTTAACTGATGCCTAGTGGTGGAGGAGAGTCAGGGTTTGTTTTAGGTGTGTGGTTCCTGAGAGTTTACAGAATCTCCAGTAGATGGCCCCATACTCATGCACATGCAGGCAGCAGTAAGTGGACTGAGCAGGTTTAAAACAGAGCACATAAACTTGGGCGTGGAAAATGGAGAGGGCTATAGGGGAGGGGCCTGGATAGGGGTTAATTTGGTCCAGGCAAGTTATGTGTGTGCATGAAATTTTAAAAAATAAAAAAGGGGAAATAAAGGATAAATATAACAGAGGAATTAACAAATACCCCTCAACTTCTCACAGCATGTCATATTCAAACTACAGGAAACCAAAGACAAAGAATGACTCTTGAAAGAATGTAAATCAGGAAATACTTGAGCTACACATAGACCAGGACGACAGTAGATTTCTTACTCAAAAGCAATCTCATTTCTAGACAGTGGGGTGAAATACTCAATGCTAAAAGAAATGTCTATGACCTGCAATTCTATATTTAGTGAAGGGATTCTTCAGAAGTAAAGGAGAGACAAAAATTTCCTCAAATGAACAAAAACTGAGGGGATCCATTCCTAAGAGACCTGCCCTGCAGGAAATGTTCAAAGGATTTCCAAGGAGAAAAAATAAAAAATCAAAGCATAGATCAGAAACTCTGGTCTCCATAGAAAAGGAGAAAACACTGGGAGAGGAATAAATGAAGGAAAGAAAACGTATTTCTCTCTTAACTAGGAGATGATTATTTAAGTGACAAAGTGGCAATGTGTGTGTGTGTGTGTCTGTGTGTGTCTGTGTGTGTGGGCAGATAGGTAGGTAGATAGGTAGATGTTTAACAACAGAATCTGGGCAAGTGGATGGTAGTGTCACAGGGTTTGTTTAAGTGACAAACTGGCAGTGTGCGTGTATGTGTGTTTGTGTGTATGTGTGTTTGTATGTGTGTGTGTATGTGCGCTTGTGTGAGTGTATGTGTGTGCGTGTTTAATAACAGAATATGGGTAAGTGGAAGGTAGTGTCACAGTGTGGGAAGGGAGGAACTGTGATAAGGGGCACTCTGTACATGAAGTATTAACTTAAGATAGAGGTAGACCTAACTTAAAATATACGGGAACATGTTAGGGAAAGAATTACTGTTTTTTTCTTTTTTAACGATCATGTCCTTCATTTTTGAGTTTGGGAATCACTGGGTACCGGCGGTTGGCTTTGAAACTATCCTTCTGCACCATGAATGAGTGCCATTGTACCAGGCTAAGAATAGTTATTATGCTAAGAAAGGAGAAAGAAATACATCATGAAAAGTGTTCAGTTGAAGCTGAGCTTTTTTTGGGTTCTGTGGCACCATTTATAATCTAAGCACTTGGGAAGCTGATGCAGGATCATGAGTTCCAGGTCAGCCTGAACCACATAACAGTGTATTGTCTCAAAACAAACAAACAAACAAACAAAGAAACAAACAAAATAAACCCAAAAGTAAAGCAAGAAACAAACACCAGAGCAAAAGAAAAAGGTGAAGAAGAGGACCTAATGCTAAGTTGGGCACTTACCCCACTTAACAGAGAAGATGGGGCTTGGGAAAGGAATGTCAGGGGTCTCCAAACCACTGAAGAATTAAACTATTCCTTCAGGACAAAATATATGTATTTAGAATCCTTCACTGTGACTGCATTAGCACTTGGTTACTAGTCAGTGACTGCTTTTGCCCAAGAAGACAAAAGAAACACATATTACTCCATCTCTCCCCATATCTTTACAGCATTCTATGCATACATGTGTGTAGATATGATCAATCCTACTTGCTAGTCAGCTATCATTTACAATTATTATTTTTTTACTAACTCATCCACCCAAGTTTCTATCTGCCTTTCTGTTTGTCAGTTAAGGGGAAGTACATGGGTTCAATAAGGTAGTTTTCATTCACACTCCTGTGGGTTTTTTTTTTTTTAATACAGAGTAATCAAGTAGTTAGGAGGCAGTGCAGGATGTCATTGGGGAGCTTAATCTACACCCAGAGAACCTCTGTGAGCATGCCAAACTATGCAAGAGTGGAAATAACATATTTAAATGTCAGGCTATTTTGAGATTTCTCAAGCTTTAATTAAACTTGCTTACAGGTTGCACGTTTGGAGTGCTTGATGAGTTTCTGAACGGAAGAAATAGTCTGTCTGCCAGATGGATTTTGCCCAAACTCTCTCAGCAATGTTTTAAATAGCATCGTTTCCCCCCTCTTCTTATCCACAAAATGCTTTCCCAGCATTCCATGGGTGGAAAGTTTTACTCATTAAATTGCTTAGTAAGAAGGCCCCTCCCTTCACATCCACAGTTTCATGTAGAGTTTCCCAAAGACTCTATGCCACAGGACAAACAGCTGATACTACAGTTAAAAGTCTCTGGATTAAAAAGAAGCTTGTACTGAGTAATAGTCGAGGAAATAAAGGGATTTGTTCTAATCTTGAACCTATTCATTGCTGTTACCTTAGATAGCTCAAGGACTTTTTTTTGTTTTTTTTCTGTTCATCTGTGGAACTGTTAAGCCCCACAATATATTCAGACAATGAGAGGGAATATAAGAGACACATCATCAAAGCATGATATCATTATGTGAAAAGGCTACAGGATTAGGAACTAAATCACCATTTTATATACCCATTTATGAAATATTACTAATCACTTTTGCTGAAAACAGAAACCTTGTTTTATCTGCTGCAGGAGACTGACTAGATCTGTGTGGTTTGTGACATTCAGTTATGAAGAAGGCTCAACTAGGAAGAATCTTAATTATTTTTTAATGAATTAAATTATTTATTTTATATCCTCATCGAAGCTTCCTCTCCCTCCTGTCTTCCCAATCCCTCCCTCTCACCTCCTTGTTATACGTGATTATGCCCTCAGAGCTGGGTGCAGGAACTGAAGTAGTTCTGTGAGCATATCAGAGATACAGTGTGTTCAGAGAA